TCTCAGATAGTTTCCATGGTCATGGCAGTTTAAAAGGACAGATTTTGTCTTTGAGATATTAACATTTAGCTAGTATGTAAGGTAATTTATTAACAAGTTTTGAATTAGCCTACTTTGTGACTGTAATGAAAATAGTTGGTGTGATAGCATTTTCACTATCATTATATCAATATGAAGTCCAGTCTAAATGTGAAAGCTGGGTTTGGAGATCACTCTGTGCAAACCGCTCTGCTTTCCATGCAACTACTTCCTCCATAAAGAGGAAGTTGGAAGTAAAAGTGGGTAGAAGTTAAGCTATCTGTAAATATTTATATACAAAAGCAATTGCATGCCAGCTAATACACACTTTTGCAAAAGCCTGCATAAACCATAAACAAGCAGAATTGTGCTTCTGAACAATAACAGAAAATTGAGAATTGTTATTGCCTTGTAGTGGGCATCATGAGACCACCAGGAATAAGTTGACTGAGGCAGCATGCTGTTGACATCCGCTGCTTATGAGACACTGTTAACACATACTCAGCACTGATAAGGGAGTGACTGCAGATAAGGGAGATGAAAAGGAGAAAATTGAGGCAACAGAGCTTTAGCTGACATTGAACTCAAAATGAGAAGCCGGTGGACTTGGGGTCTAGGGAGAAACAAATGTCAGAATAAAATATCTTGATAGTTTTCTCTGACAGAAATGAGAAATGAAGAGCGACCCAAAAAATAGGGAGAGATTGTACTGGAGAAAGACAACAGAAAAAAAGTACAGGCAAACATATTTTTGTCATTCCTGTTGTATACAATACTGAAGTATACATCCATAAATTCATAATTACATTTTTTTAATTGTTATTTTAAGATTTTGTATGTTTCTTCGAGGGGAAAATGTAGGAGAAAGTTTCTTGACAACCTTTTGAGACAAATTAAATTTATTTCAAGGAGACTGTGGCTCTAAGCACTTCTGTTTGACCTAGCATTTATTCTTTATTCTCTAACATTTATTCTCCCTTGGGATCTAAAAAAGAAACAGATAAAGACTTTTAAACCATGAAATATGCATGCAAGCAGTTAACCTTAAACATGGTATCACAACTTCTCTTCAGTCATGACAGATCAAAGCCTATATAACAGATTCCCCGCCCTTGTTGTTTGTTTGCTGACTATGAGGACCAAACACTAGCATGAATGCCACAGCTAATGGAGCTCACTAAGGCTATTATGCATCTGGTCACTTTAACCTTTGGGGTCCAGTATAGTGGTGGACTTGAAAGAACCGGATATACAGAACAAAACCTTTTTTTTTCTTGCACTGATTATCAGTGCATATTTCTTCTTAACAAATGAATACAATATTGCCATTTTCCTAAGACTCACTGAAGTTGCAGTTCTTTTTTTTTACCCCCTTAGGCTACCTTTAGGTCAACTGCATGTTGGCTGCCTTCTGGGCATCTGGGATCTCATCTGTACACAATGCTGTATCTTGACTACTATAGCTAGACGTGGTTTGGGTCAACCATTTGTATATTGTTACTTAATTCGTTTGCTTTATTTATGCTTTTATGTTTAAAAATTGTGTTTTGGAACATCTAACCAGAGCTGTCTCTTCCAGAAAGATGATGTCTTATCTATGGGACACTAGAGCTCAGCTCAAATAAAAACCTGTGATAGATTAAGAACTGATTTATGGGACAGCAGTTCCCGCAACCAGTACCCCACTTTCCTTTAATTTGTCACACAGCTGTGTGTAAACAATGAACAACAGCATCATGTTTGGTTCTCTTTTAATTTTAGGTTAAAAGTACATTTGTTGCATAATCGATATTAATGTTTAATATCAGTTATGTAGCAACTGATACTGCTGCATAATTGACATTGCTTTTGTCATTACATGTTTATAAGTATTGGATCACTAAATAGGCTAACAACCAGACAGAAGAGCTTAAACACACGGTGGCCAGTGTGCTTCATTATTGCTGTTTACTGTGTCAGAAGAAAGTTACACAAAAGTAGGAATTATCTAGCACAGGCTAATACTGCATGGTATTGTTTTGTTTTAATATGAAGGACCAAATAATTATTCAAACATTTTAAAAAAGGCTTGTCTGTTACAAGCTGGACGTCATGAACATAATTCTTTGCATCTGCTTTTTGGCATGAACCTAGAGCACAAATAAGGATCTGTTTGGAGATGAATGGTGTCTGGAAATTTAAAAAGAACACCTAAATTTAAATGCATGGGCATAAACCAAAATGCATGTATGCCTCTATCTCTTCCTCTTATCTATTACATCAGGTTGTATTTTGATGTGAAATAATAATAGTATATTCAACTTAGTTTAATCACACATGTTTAGAAATAAATACTTATGACTCAAAGACATATTATTCTGTTCCTGGTTCCATTTAAAACCAAAACTACACCCAAAATCTATTTTTTAAATCAAAATCTGTGTAAATACTTAAATAACTTGCCACTTTAACCTCCGTTTTCTTCATTTCCCTCTTCTGTTTTTGCCCTCTCATTGGCATGTATGATGCACATCGAGTGGGAGCCACTGGATTACTCAATAAAGTAACACCCTGGCCAAGGAGCTTAAAGATATTGTGTCCAGTGCACTTCATTATTGCTGTTTACTGTGTCAGACAAAGTAATAAAGTTACAAATATATATGCAAAGCTAACAGAGGGGTGATGCTGCATGGCGTTATTTTTTTTATGTGAAACACCAAATAGTATTTCAGATATCTAGAATAAAGCTGTGTCTGAAACAAATGGACATTATGAACATAATCCTTTGTGTGTAATTTATCAAGGGAGTGTATCTACTTGGTGGCTTGAAGATAGGACACATAAGGCACATTTGGGGATGTGGTGGTTTCTAGAAAGCGTAGTTATATTCAGCTCAGTTTAACCACAAATGTTTTGAAACAAATACATATGACTCAAAGATAGTATTTTGTTCTCTAGCAACCTGCATTGCCTCTGCTACTGGTTGCATTTAAAATCAAAATCAGTGTAAATACTTCTGCCTCCTCACTTTAACCTCCATCTTCTTCATCTCCCTCTTTCTCTGCTTTTGCCTCCTCATTGGCATGTATGATGAGCATCGACTGGGAGCACCACATCACCATTATTCATGGACAGAGCGCACCTCAGAGCCAGACTGACAGATCAAAAGATGATGATGATAGGTGGGGGTACTGGTAGTTGGGGTGATGAATGGCCACATCATTTGGAGTTGGCTGTACTGTAAGTTTGGGGACAGAGCTGTTTTCACAGTTTTCCTTGAAGGATTTCTTTTTTACAGCCACTGTTAATGCCTGCAGACAGTGAAATCATTAGAGGTTGCATATATTGAAGGCCTAAGATGTGTCAAAAGCATTGTGTAACACACAAGCACACTTTGTATACATACATATAAATTCTAATATATAATCTATCTATTATTCACACACACACACACACACACA